TATTTATGATCTTGTAAAGGCTATATAATTATATTTAACAGGTTCTATTTTAAAGAAAAGTAAGAGAAATAAATAACGCTAAACCTTAATAGATAGAATAATTTAATGACACTAATATTAACTAAATATTTGAAATGTTAGATTAGAAAAAAAATAAAATTGATTGGAAAAGATTTTGAATGGAAAATAAAAAAATATCTAAAATAATAAATATTTCTCAATTAAATTACTTCAAATGTTCTTCAAGCAATTATAATAAAAAAACAAATCTACGAATTAGTCATTTTAATGTAAAAAAGCAAAAGATTTATTAATATTTATTTAGTTTTAATTGTTTTCAAACAAAGAATGAACATTGAAATAAACTTTAAAGAAAATATTTAAATTATGTAAGCTTTAAATAATTTTATTTTTGAAACATCCAAAATTAATTCTTAGATTGATAAGGAAAATTAAAAAAAAGTAAAGCTTATTTTGATTGATTATTAATTAAAAAGTGTGTATGTGTATAAATTATATGAAGTAATTGATAATTAATGAAAAAGGATTTTAAACTTAACAAATTTATTTAATTTTTGGATATTTGTGTATTCAAGCATGCATTTTTATATGCTATTTGTGGCTTATATATATTTTTTAGTTAATTAATTAATTTTTGTGGTTAACAGATACTGATTTTCTCATATAAATACCATCAATTTAAATTAATTAGGAGAAGTTTTGTATTTTTTAGTGTTAGGTTTAATTAGTATTGCTTTAATGTTAATAATCAATTTTATGAATTTTTTTCTTCATTTGAAAAATATTTTGTATGTAAAATTTAAAAAGTTCTTTACCTCATCGTATGTATTTGTAAGATTGATATAAAATTAATTTTTTTTGGTGAATACATTTTTAAGTTTTTAGAATTTTAAACAGCAGAAAAAATACTATTAACAAAGACTATTAAAAAATTATCAATAAAATTTTAGAAAAAACTAAATAAATACAATAAATATCAATCTTGATTATTTACCATAAAATTTTTGTAATGCGTAAATATCTAATTATGATTTGATTGTAAATTGAGTGCTTTATTTCAATATTTTTTGTGATTAAAAACAAATTATGTTCAAACGATTAATACAGCATTAAAAGTTAAAAGAAAACTTAATTTGTTTTTTTATTAAGAAGATGATCCAAATTACTATAAACCTTTTTTTTCATAAAATTAACAAATTAAAATAATCTAAAAAAGTAAATCTAAGTTTTTGGCAGATTGATTGCACATAAAAAAAATGGGTTTTAAATAAATAGCTTTTATTATCATTCAGATGATATTTTTAATCGAAGGAGATATGGAAATAAATTAACAAGTAGATCTTTATTTATATTAAAATTATAAAAAATGTATTTTATTTAACCTTTGCTACTAACATAGATTTTTAAAGAAAATTTAAAGGTTTTTGATTTTTTTTATTTGTATTATTTTTATTTCAATTACAAAAAAATATTTTTATTCAATTTAATTACTTTTTTAATTTTTAACTTAAATAAAAATAATTTTATAAAATAAAATAGATTGCTAAATCTTTTAGATAATTATTAAGCTGTTCTGATGGATGTACGTAATAAAAAATTATTTATTTTGTTTTTAAATAAAAATAATTTAATTTATATTTAGATATTTTAATTGATATAATGACATTTTCTATCATACAGAGTGTTATATCTGTATTAGTAACTGTAGTATTTATGATGCGATTAATACATCTTAATGTATTATTTATGATGATCAATATTATCTAATGGAGGGGTAAAAACAAATTTTAATCATTAATTGAACATAAGACTGAATAATGAATGTTCAGATTAACATTTTTCAACTTTTAAGCAAACATTTATTTACTTTTGAAACTTTCATAATTAAAATGAAATCATTTTTTGATTAAAAAGTTATTTTAATTATAAATATAGACTAGATTATTAAAGTAAATTTTTAAAATATCCAACCAAATTAGGTTTATTTTAATATTTTTAAACAAAATACTTTGCAAAAAATACAAAATCTATTAACTAACTAAGCTATTTCTTTAGATTTAAAAATCAATTAGGTACTAATTAAGCTTTTGTGAGGTAATAAAATAGCAAAAAGTATAAAGTTTAAAAAATGCAAGGTAATTAATTGCGCTTTATGATTATGCCGCGGATTTTTTAATATTTATTTTTAAAAATTTCTAAAACTCAATCCCTAAAATATGTTATCTCATATTTAATAATTTAATAAAAAAGTAATAATTGCTTTTTATTTCAAAATCGATTCATTTTCTTGCAATCCACTTGGAACACTCTTATATATATTATTTTTTACATCTTCTTAAGTAAATAAAATCAAAACAAAATTAGTGAAATATTTAACTTTATTTATAAGTATTGTAAATAAAAAATTCAATATAATATTTGATTTTTGATTTTAATGATAAGTAAACAAAAAATCTAAAATAGATTTTGAATTTTAATTTTTTTGTTTTTGTACAATATTATTTATTAATACTCGTGTATGTAGCCTTGAAAAGGGCAGTACCCTAGGGTACTATATATAAGAAAAATATTAAAATTAAATATCAAAAAAACTTTATTTAATATTATTAATAAAAATATTAATAAATTATCTAATTAATAATAGCAGACAATCTTGTTAGGCTTGTGACATTTCTTGTAATGGATGCTAAGGACCATCAAATAAAAATTGTAATACCTGTAAATTAGGATATACTATGACATTGTAAGGCTGTATGAAATGCGATTAGTCTTGTAAAACATGTACAGGTACAAAAAGTACATAATGTGAAACATGCTCTTATAATTTACTCAAAACAGAAGAGTAAATTTTTATTGTTATTAAAATATTTTAAAGTTTTTGCATTAATTGTAAAAAACTGATTATATTAAATAACGAACGTTTTTAAATAAATAGCAATTAATGCATATCATGTGATTAAGATGGATATTTTGAACAATAGGGCTATTGTTATAAATGTGATTAAACTTGTAAAAAATGTTAAGGAAAAAGTAAAATAGATTGTATATCCTGTCCAACTGATAGTTATTTATTAAATTCGTAATTATTTTAATGATTTATTTTTATCATTTACTGAGCATATTATATAATTTTATTTTACCAATATTTAGTGGTGAATGTGTTTCATGTAAATAAGATAAATAATATATCCTTGGAGATAAATGTCTTTAATGCGATCCATCTTGCCTTTAATGCAACGGAGGTTTAAAAAATAGTTGCACAGCTTGCTAAAATGGAAAATATTTGACAAAAAAGTAATTAAAAATTATTATTCCTATTTAATTCTCATTAAAATGTTCTTCGTTTTTCTCCTTGGAAGGTTAGATTTATCCTTTCTTTTTATTAAAAGTAATGAATGTGTGGCTTGCGACTAAGATAGATAATTTTAACAAGGTCAATATTGTGAAGATTGTAATCCTTAATGCCTAAAATGTAGTGGAACTAAAAATAATTGCACAAAATGTGAAGCAAATTTATACTTAAATTCAAGGTAATGATAAGATTTGTTTATTAATAAAAATATTTTATAATTTCTATTTTTTAAATTAATATAAGCAATGAGTGTGTAAAATGTGAAGAAATAGGATAATTTAAATCTTATAATGGCAAATGTATATAATGTGATAAATCTTGCATTAAATGCGATGAAATATAAAATAATAAATGTTTAGAATGCGCACCATAAAAGTACTTAACATAAGAGTAATTATTTTGAAAACTAATTATTCATTTATTTAAAATATTTCTTTGTTTGAATATGAAATTAATTTATTAAATTAATAATTATCAGGAATTAACTCATTCATTCATATATTTAAATAGTTGTTTGTTTGAATATAAAATATACTTTATTAAATGATATTTGCTTTACTATGAAATAATTAATAAAATTAATTTAGTTTATTTTAAAAATAGAAACAAATGCATATCTTGTGATTAAGATGGATATTTTATTTCTTAAAAATATTGTCTCTAATGTGATCCATCTTGCCTTTAATGCAACGGAAGTTTGAAAAATAAATGCACAGCTTGCTAAAATGGAAAATATTTGACAAAAAAGTAATTAAAATTATTAATCCTATTAAATTCTCATTAAAATTTTCTTCATTTTTCTCCTTAGAAGGTAAAATTTATTCTTTCTTTTAATTAAAAGTAATGAATGTGTGGCTTGCGACTAAGATAGACAATTTTCACAAGATTAATATTGCGAAGATTGTAGTCCTTAATGCCTAAAATGTAGTGGAACTAAAAATAATTGCACAAAATGTGAACCAAATTTATACTTAAATTCAAGGTAATGATAAGATTTGTTAATTTATAAAAAAAATTATAACTTCTATTTTTTAAATTAATATAAGCAATGAGTGTGTAAAATGTGAAGAAATAGGACAATTTAAATCTAAAAATGGCAAATGTATATAATGTGATAAATCTTGCATTAAATGCGATGAAATATAAAATAATAAATGTTTAGAATGCGCACCATAAAAGTACTTAACATAAGAGTAATTATTTTGAAAACTTATTTTTTCATATTACTTAAAATATTTCTTTCTTTGAAAATGATATGACTTTATTAATTTTTGAGAATTAATTCATTTATATATTTAAATAGCTGTTAGAATGAATATAAAATGGCTTTATTAAATGATTTTCGCTTTACTTACTTAAAAATAATTAATAAAACTAATTTAATTTATTTTAAAAATAGCAACAAATGCACATCTTGTGATTAAGATGGATATTTTATTTCTTAAAAATAATGTCTGTAATGTAATTAAACTTGCTTAAAATGCTCAGGCCCAACATAAAATGATTGTAGATCATGTCCTAAAAGGTTGTATTTATTTGAAGAGTAATTTTATTATAAATTTTATATATTTAATTTTGCACGAAAAATAATTATTTTTTTTCTTCTTCTAACTTTAGTAGCTAATGCGTTTCATGTAATTAAAATGGAGTTTTTATTGATGGAGACAAATGTCTTAAATGTCATTCATCTTGTCTAACATGCAAAGGAACAAATAGCACTGACTGCTTATCATGCAGTAAACCTTAGTATTTATTAGTCAGGTAAAGTTTAATTTAAAAATTTTTCAAATTTTAATTTAAAAATTATCTTGAAAATATTAATTAAATAGTAATAGCACATGCACAGATAATTGTTACACTAAAAATGGATACTATATTAAAGAAAACAAGTGTATTCAATGCCATAAAAATTGCAGATCTTGTGATGGTGAATTAGAAGCTAATTGTAAATCTTGTAATTTAGGTCTGATTTTATAACCTACTTTAAAAAAATGTGATAAATGCGAAGAGGGTACATTTTTAAATAAGACTACTAATAAATGTGAATATTGTGATGAAACTTGCTTGACTTGCTCTGGAGTAGATAAAAATTAATGCTTAATATGTGCTCAAGGTTTAACCTTAAGCAAAGTCACAAATACTTGTGAAAACAACACTAAAATACAAAATTAATAGGATGAACTAGAATATGTTTAAAAAGTAGGTTGCTTAAACGAATAAAGTAAACCTGATTAAAATTGTATGTCAAGATTTGATACAAGTAAATCTCAAACCTAAATTCTAAATATTTTAATTATTTCAAACATAGTTTTAATAATGATTACTTCTCTTTTTACGCCATTTGGAACTTCACTTGGCTAAATTTTAATATAAAACTCCTAACTTATTGGAAACTACATATTCGCTTCCAAGTTGAATTCGCTGTGGATGAATTAACTTGAATTAAAAACATACTATGCATATCATGTAGCTACTATTGTACCGATAGTATTTAAGTAATCATCTAGTTAAACTTTATACTAATTTTAATCTTTTAATACACTTATTTCTGTAAATGATTTTGTAGATAGCTATCTTAGCAACTGCTTTATATCTCTTATAACCCTAGGAGTCATTATCTTTACTACTCTTCTTATCGCTGTGGTTTTGTCATCAGCTACTTGTAGGATTGATCATAATAATTAAAACAACAGTAAACTCTACCAAATATATTTCTATTTTAAATGGAATTTATTTGTTAATTTTTTTAGAATTGCTTCTAGCTTTTTGATTTTGAATGCAGTCTACTTACTTACATCAAAATAAAAGCTTGAAAAAATAGAATTAATTTCTATGGCTATTTCTATATTTGTGTATGTAATTTTGTAGCTTTATTGGAATATTAAAGTAGGGTTTAAATACTATTCAATATCATTTACAGACTTGGAATCAATTGAAAGTTTGACTTAAAAAGTTGAAGTATCTAATTGGCATTCTAGAATATTTTGGATTTTATGTGAGCTAAAAAAAGTGATTATAACTGTGGCTTAATCAATATTCATATTTACTTAAGATAAGTAGCATCTAAGTTGTTGGATTCATGCAGGTTTAAATATGGTGTTTATTATTTACATTTCTATATCAAAGCCATTTTTAGAAAAACAATTAAATTTTATTGTGGTATTATAAGAATTGCTCTTTGCAATATTAGTTGTTCTTTTAGGAGTTATTTTAATAACAGATAATGACTACAATGCATATAATTTAGCTAGCTTATCTTAAAATATGCAATTAAGTAAACTAATTTATAACTTTTTTCTATATATTATAATAATTTTTTAACCAAAGTATTTAGGTATGTAAGTTTTGCAATATAAGGAGGATTAATCATATTCTAATTACTAACAATTATTTAAAGAGTCTTGAAATATGTATAACAACTTTTACATATAAATAAAATAAGAGCTACAAGTGCAACTACACAATAAATTGAATAAATAAATGAAACTAATATTATCTAAATATTTGAAATGTTAGATAATAAATCATATAATTATAGTTGGTAAAAAAAAATATGAAATTATTGAAGTTTAATTTAAATAGTTATTAGCAAAATTACCTTAATACTAGTTAAATAATGAATACTAAAATTTTAAAATCTAATAATATGTTAAGATCACATTTTGGAAAATAGTTTTTTTATAAAGTTGCCCAAATTATAGTGTAATTTATCTTGTATTTAAACTTTTAATCTTCTAATAAAAATTTAAAAATCTTTTTTAAACTAGAATTTAAACAAAATATAAAATTATTATTGTTGGTACTTAATTCAGTAAACATTTTATGCAAATTAAAACATTATTAATTTACTGATTTTTTTTAATCTTATTTAAGAATTATTTAAATTTATATATATAAAATAGTGTTAGAACTAAATCGTCCTGTCAAATAAATTTAATTTATTTAAACGATCTAATGTTAAAAAGATTTTCTTAAATTATTATAAATCTTCAAATTAATTAAATGAAATCATAAAATAATTATTAATAGTTAAAAATTAGCTATGTTATATTTAATAGATATAATATATAAAACAATTAAATATCAAATAAAAATAATATCTACTAGGATGGAAATATTCTTTAGATGTTAAGAAAGAATATTAATATCAAAAGAAACTTGATTATTTTTCTTATGTAATTAATGTAAAATTAATATTAATTAATATGCATCTTTTAAAATTGAGTAAGTTAAAAATCAAAACTTAAAAATTAATGTTACAGTTATTACTATATATCTTCAGCATAAGCATGCACTAACTTTTAATAGAGAGGGAAAAATCAACATTTAATATTTCAAAAATTTAAAATCATAATTTATTTTTAAAAAAAATTATTATTTTATTTTATAAAATATTTAATTTAACCTACTCACCCTTAATTTTATGCAAATAAATGCATTTATATCGAAAATTTTACAAATTTAATAGCAGTAAAAACTATAAAAAGGTCAATAAAATACTTGCTATTATTAATTGTATTTTATGTATAGTAAATATTAATATTGAAAAAAATAATTTTAAATTCTATTTATTTCTATTATTATTTATTTTTGTATCTTACCATAAAATTATTTTTGTTTGATACCAAGAGGATTATATTTTAAAAGAAAGTATTTTTTAAGCGAAACTATATGAGTTTTTTAAATGATAATTTCACACTATTCGATACTTACTAAACTTAATTTACAATCAAATAAAAAAATTATTTTATAATACAATGTCATGAGCCTAGCATCATAAACTATTTCCAAGTTTAATATTTTTATTTTTTTGTTTTTTAATATCTCTTATAATTAATTAAATAGATTTTTACTACATTAAATAATTGTAAGTAAACAATTTTTAAATTTTTTATCAAAAGTAAACAATATTTTGATGAGTTATAAATATAATGTTAGGTTTAGTAATTAAATAGATGGGAATTTTTTAAACTTTGTAATATTTTGAATGTACTTAGACTTATTTATTTAATGATTTAATTAAATTAAAGCAGCAATATATGACTATTAATTGCTTGCTTAAGAATTTTCTCATTTGAGAAAACAATAAATTAATGTAAAAAATAACTAAATTTGTTATTTCTAAATCAGATTTAATTAGTATTAATGTAAAGGCTCTCTCTCTTACTAATATTACAGTATCTCAAACTCTTTTTATAAATACTGTAAAATAAATATTTTATCCCTCAATTATGCTTTGGTATATTATTATTTAAAGTGGTCGAATTATCATAAAAATATTAAAATTTTTTACCTACAAAAATTTAAATTAAAACAAGTTTTACAGTATTTCTTAAGATATAAAATTTTATGAGCTGTAACCATAGCCTTTAATTAATAACAATACTTCTTACTAGCCTCTATATAACTATAAATTTTTTTTTGAAAAATTAAAATATACACAACCATAAATAATTAACATCAATTTTTATGAGAATTATAATATAGACACTCAATATTTAATTGCAAAAAAGATATCAAATTTTGTGAGGCTATTTTTCTATCATCATCATCATCATCATCAGAAAAAAACAAAACAAAACAGAAGAAAGCAAAATAATTAAATTAAATTAAAAAAGATACAAGTTTCTAAAGTTATCAAAGAGAGGTTTAGCAGAGAGGAATCTTAACTTAAAAATTGACTATTTATCTAAAATTTTATTAAGACATCTAACAAATCAATAATTATTTATTAAATTAAATCTTTTAGAGTTAAAAGAATATATAAGATATATGAGTTTAAGAGTGATTGTTTTTATCTTCCTAGAAGTAGTATTTCTACCAATAAAAATGAAAGCAGTATAATTAATTACAGTTATTTTATATAAAAATAAAATTAATTTAGGCATTTTAAGAATAATTATACTAAAATAATACAAACATTTTTATAAAAAATCCAAACTAAATTATTCTTTCAAGAAAAAGAAATTTAAAATTATTTGATCGATCATAAAATTTGTTCATCTGCAACTATTTACTCTTATTTAATAAAATATTAAAAATAAATAGATATCTTTAAGGCAATTAGAATATGACTGCTATTAATAAGAAGAATTGTAAATTCGTTAATGTTAACTATTGTATAAATAGAAAGTTTCTAAAATATTTTTTTTCAAATTACAAATTTTTTCATTCATATTATCAATTTAAAAAGTTTTTTTTATATTACTTATTATAAATTTTTATTAAACTTTCTAGTGGAACTTCTTATTGCAATATTTGCGTTACAAATTGTTAAAGATGTAAGGGTGATCCTTCTAGTATGTATACTATGTGCTTAAAATGTGAAAGTGGATATTATCAGATAAATAAGTAAATAAAGATTTATCAGTCAATATATTAATAATTTCAAAATTTAAAATTGCAATTATAAAAACTATAATATTTATAAAACTAAATACTTGACAAATATATTTATAGCCAACAATTGAGTTAATAAATTCGGTTTTGCATAAATAATTTAATAAAATTTAAAAGAAAATAAAATATTATTCTGATATTATTTAAAATTTGACATGATGAACTATAAACGTTCATTCACATATTAAGACTCCAATATATTGAAGTCATTGTTTAAATTTTGAAAATTATACTTAATTAATTAATTAGTATTTAATCAAGTATATGAAGCAAAACTGAAGATTGAAAGTTATTGTTAAATTATTTGCTAAAGCTTATCAAACAAACAAATAAAATTAAAAAGATCTAAATGAACATCAATTCTTAATATTGATTACTTCTCAAATTAATAATAAAATAATATATTTTACATTCTATAAAATAATTAATTAGCCTTTTAGATTTATTTTTTAGGTTTAAATGCGATTAAATTTATTATTTTATTTTTTATTTAATATAATATTAAAATTTTAATAAATTTGTTATAATATTTCAGTTAAA